CTAAAGTACCCATCTTTCCCCTATATTGAACGCCACTGGCTTGGATTTGTACAAAAAACATTTAATTTACAATTTCTTGTCATATGGTAAAGTTTTCAGCTGTTAAAAAGAGAGAAATAATTTTGGCCAGCTAAAATCGTCAAATACTCCTACGTGCATCGTTAGCAGTTCCGACGCTAACGTATGGTCTGAAACTATGTGAAAATACAGAGATAACAATGCAAAGATTTAATAAACTTGGAAGAAATGCAGTTAAGTCATTTTTCAATGTCTCCAAGTATAGCAAAAACTATATAAACTCTCTATTTAAAGTTCGTGAGATATCGAGTTACATATCTAAAAAATAAAATAAACCTATTCATTCGTCTTTTAAATAATAAAGTAACTTTTAAAATCATCAATTCTCAGCTTAATTATTGTTCAGTAAAGTATTCATTTTTAGATGACATAAAGGAGTTATGTAAGATCCATAAACTTAATATAAAAAACCTAATTCAAGATAAGAAAAAAGTGAAAATTGAAATTTCAGAAAATATAATCCCTGAAGGTACTTATCAAATTCTAGTACAGGTAGTTGAATGTTGTAATTCAAAGCAACAGCGAACAATTTTCAAAAAATACTCTTGAAGAAAACATTCCAAAGTGATCAATTTAAATCTCTATTTTTATATCTTAAACTATTTTAATGTATTTTTACCTTGTAAACATATTTACAGAGGGTGTTTTAATAAAATAATAATAAATAAATAAATGAAATATTGTAATTATTATTTTTTAACAATCGGAAAATTTTGAAACCGGTATACTATTTTCCGCTTTTCAATATTCTGGAACTTGAACCGTTTTCCGGTTTTTAATTTTTTTCTTACCGCTCAACATAATTAACCGTGCATAATTTGTTTAGTTTTAGCTGTAGTTTGGTTTTAATAGTTTGGTTTTAATATATGTAGTAAGACTTTTTTCAACAATATAATCAAGTTGAAAAACTTTTATTTAATTTTTTCGGGTATGTCCAACGACGTAGCGGACATCCCCTAGACACGCCCCTGATATATATATATATATATATATATATATATATATATATATATATATATATATATATATATATATATATATATATATATATATATATATATACATATATGTATATATACATATATATATATATATATATATATATATATATATATATATATATATATATATATATATATATACATATATGTATATATACATATATATATATATATATATATATATATATATATATATATATATATATATATATATATTATATATATATATATATATATATATATATATATATATATATATATATACATGTAGTAATATATATATATATACATATATATATATATATATATATATATATATATATATATATATATATATATATATATATATATATATATATATATATATGTAGTAAGACTTTTTTCAACAATATAATCAAGTTGAAAAACTTTTATTTAATTTTTTCGGGTACGTCCAACGACGTAGCGGACATCCCCTAGACACGCCCCTGATATATATATATATATATATATATATATATATATATATATATATATATATATATATATATATATAATATATATATATATATATATATATATATATATGTATGTATATATATATATATATGTATAGATATATATATATATATATATATATATATATATATATATATATATATATATATGTATATATATATATATATATACATGTAGTAATATATATATATATATATATATATATATATATATATATATATATATATATATATATATACATGTAGTAATATATATATATACATATATATATATATATATATATATATATATATATATATGTATATATATTTATATATATATATATATATATGTACATATATATATATATATATATATATATATATATATATAATATATATATATATATATATATATATATATATATATATATATATATACATGTAGTAATATATATATATATATATATATATATATATATATATACATACACTCATACATAAACGCACATTCACGTACACATACATACATACATACATACATACATACATACATACATACATACATACATACATACATACATACATACATACATACATACATACATACATACATACATACATACATACATACATACATGCATACATACATACATACATACATACATACATACATACATACATACATACATACATACATACATACATACATACATACATACATATACACGCGCATATACATACATAAACATATATATACACACATATAAAATAATGTTATGATAATATTTATGTCACATATAACAATACCAAAAGCAATAATAATAACGACCCACAATAATTCCAACATTTTACAAACAGTATCTCACCAAAAAAAAAGAATGAAGACGGGTTTTAAATTGTGTAATAGAGTTTAGTGATTTAAGGTGAAATAGTAATATATTCCATGATTTTACGCATTGGTTTTAAAGTGGGGGTTTTAAAGGACACAGGTTTTAAAGTGGGGGGGGGGGGGGGAGGACAACCATCAATTTGTAAAAAAGTCCTCTCTATCAAGGTTTTTCTTAAATAAAAAATAAAATAAAAAAAAGTTCTATAGAAAAAAAGTGGGGGGAGGGGGCACGTGCCCCTTAACCCCCCTTCCCCGGTTTCGTCGACCCTGCAATGTAAGTTAAAGTTTAAATTTTTTAGTTGATCAAGAGAGTATTACAAATATACAAATTAAATCTCATCGTTTCGTATCGTAATCTTATCAACACAAATTTTTATATAATCCAATAAAACTTAATTCTTTCTTTTTATATAAATTTTATACATAATTTATACATTTATACATATTTTATATATAATTATATAATTTTTTTATATAATTTATATAGTTATAACAATTTACTTGAACTTAAAATATTGAGACTTACTTTGCATCGTTTTATTCATTAACATCGTTATTATCAACTTAACAGAAAAACTAAATAGAAAAGATAATAACCAGTATTAACTTATATTTAATTTTCTTACATTATTTACATTTTAAAAATAAACTTTTTCTTTATTTCAGCCCTAATCCGGTTAAAATAAAACAACTTACTCCATAGTAAAATGTCCTATCGGACAGTTTACTCCGCGGACTGTTTTCTCCGTGACAGGTCTCAAAATGCGAACAAATAATAATTGCGAAATGATCGTAACAACTTACCGCAAACTCTAAAACTCTTTACGCTACCTGCTCTTCGCTGACAACGGCTTTCAATTTTTTTAAATTTTCACCGCAAGCCACTGGTAGCGGCTTTCGAGTATCTTCACAATTTATCCTTTTTTTGTAAACAAATTTTTATTCTAGACACATATATGTTTGTTCTTAAAAATTAATTCTCTACAAATATTCCAGAACAAAAAAATATTGTGTAATTATAGATTGTTGATAAATTTAAAAAATCTCGAGAAATCCTTGATAAAAAATAACTTCTTTAAATTTAATTCAAAAATAAAGCAGCGTTAACACTGTAAAATTTAACTTGTAGAAATGTTTAAGAATTTAGCTAAGGGATCGTCCATAAATTACATCACGCATTTTTTGACAGATTTTGACCTCCCTCTCCCTCTCGTCACAAAATCGTAACACTTAAGAAGCAAGTTTTGTATGAGTCGTCACAAAACTACAACCCCCCCTCCCCTTATAGCGTGACGACCGCTAAGTAGTTACAAAAGTCTTTTGAAAAAAAAAATTCTGATTATTCATTAAGTGAGTTTTGTTTAGGATTTAATATTTTAGATACTATTTATAAAAACGATGATTTTAAACACTTTGTATTGTTGTTAAATGATGCGTGATAAATACTTATTTATCTAAAATAAGTTCATTTGTTTAGCTTCCTATCGAAATTTGTTTGTTAAGTTTCCAAGAGAATTACTAATCGAATTTTAATTAGTTTTTAATGTTAAGTCGTCCAAATTTTATTAAAAAAAAAAGTGAGGTCACAGAGAAAAGATATTTGTTAAAGCGGCTGATAATGATAGAATTCGGTAACTATTTAAAAAAGTTGCTGGCCAACAAACACTTTGAGTTTTTTTTACGTATTTATGACGTATTTCGACGCTAAAAATACGCCAAAAAAATATAATTTGTTCGCTTAATAACGCGTTATTGCTTAAGATAATATATTAAAAAATACAAAAATAGATAAAACTTTCATGAGCTTCATTAACTTCATTTGTTTCAGTGTAAGGTTATAATCACTTAAGTTTATGCAAATCAAAATGATAGTACAATTTATAAAAGTGAAAACAAGAGCAAAAAAAAAGCAAAATTTTTTGTACTTGAAGCTTTATAAAACAAAAGATCCAGACAATTAATTGAACAGTAAAGGTAAATAAGTATTTAATGTAAAATTAAACAGCCGTCGGAAAACAAACAAATGTATACGAGTAAAACAAACAAACAAACAAATTTAACGATTATTTAGTCAAACAAAATTGTAAGAGATCTCATTTATTTATGTTTTGCATTTCAAGAGGTTTCTGTTAAAAAAATATGATTCTTAATTCCTTAAAACTTGATTTCTTAGCTTAATCTATCGACTAACAGTTACGGGGTCACATAAATTACATAACGATCTTGTTTTTCAACTTGATTATATCTCTTTAATAACGGCTTGTTACTAAAGAGTTACAATGTTGTAACATATGGAGAAGGGGGTCAAAAACGGTCAAAAATTACTTGACATAATTTATGGGCGACCCCTATAACGTTCCTCGGAAAGCATAAGTTATACTTTAAACAGCCAATCGGATTAACCTATAATTATTTTCTTTTTTTTTTTTTTTTTTTTTGTTTGTTTACGAGTTTGCATTTTTTTTATCTTAGAAGCGTTAAGTAATTACGCTTTATAAAAAGCGATTAAAAAAAAAAAAGTTAGTTGCAAACAAAAAGCGATTAAAAAAAAAAGTTAGTTGCAAACAAAAAGCGATTAAAAAAAAAAAGTTAGTAGCAAACAAAAAATTAAAACAGAAACATGAGAAAGTTTTCAAAGATACAGAAACGTTTTTTGTTAATATTTATTTTGATTATAATTTTTATTGCTATCTACGAAATTCGAGATTTAAAAAGTTGTAACTCATTAATGCTAAAAGAAAAAATAAAAACACCGTCCGGTGTAGAAATACCAAAATATGTCGAAAGTTCACATTTTATATCTTTCGGAAACTTATCCAAAGAATGTGAATATAACAATAAAAACGAAATTGTTTGTCCAGATGTTAGACATTTTGGAGAAACCATGCACAGGCAAGTTTTGTTAACAATAACAAGAATGCTGGCAATTATCAATTTAATTTGCGAACGTCACTCCATAAAGTATTGGCTTTTAGCTGGAACTTTACTTGGATCTTATCGAAGTAACAAGCTTATTCATTGGGACGACGATGCAGATATAGGAATGTTGCTTGAAGATTATCAACAATTTTTGAAACATGTTCGCAATGAATTACCTGAAGATTTATATTTTCAAGATGGATCTGATGATATTCATTTTAGAAGCACAAAATTTGTTAATGCAAAAATTAGAGATCGAAACAGTTGCTACGGGTATTGCATTAGAAAAGGATGCCAGTGGCACGATGGAATTCAAATTGACATTTTCGTTTTTTTAAAAAAACAAGATAATTCAGACGTAATAACAAGTACTTTTCCTCGATTTGAATTTAACTCCAAAAATATTTTTCCGATTAAAAAAACGTTTGTAGATGGAGTGTTACTCTCAGTCCCAGCAGAAAGCCACAAAATTTTATTATTTTTGTACGGATCTGACTATTTGAAACCGATTTCTAATGCGTGCCCGTCCGGAAGAATTCCATTTCCATGGTACAGCTGCGAATATCTAGGTAGTTTATCTTTGAACGATCGAATAAAAATTCTTAAAGAATCAGAAATTCATTCAAACTTTTTATTTCAGTATATATAAAGATTTAGTTTGTGCATACCTATGATAATAGATTTTTACTTTTTTTTTTTTTTTTTTTTTTTGCGTGTTTCATTTGAAGAGATAAAACGTATTTTATTTTAGCGCTTTTTTTTAAAAAAAAAAATCGACATTACAATGAAAAACATCGAAAAAATAATTTCAAGTAAACTTAATTTTCAAGAAAATGATATCTCGGAAAAAATATAACAAATAAAGAAAAACTATGACAAAAAAATCAATTCATTAGATAAAAAATCTATAGATCTTGAAAACCAATCAAGAAGAAACAACTTAAGAATTGACGGGCTACAAGAAACACCCAGCGAAAATTGTGAAGATTGCGAAAAAGCTGTTAAAGAAATTTTCAAAACACTATTGAAAATACCAAGTGAAGCGGTAGAACGAGTTCATCGAATTGGACAATTTAAAGATAACAAACGTTAGTCTCAAAACTTTTAAATTACCAATAACAAAAACAAAATTCTCAATGCAGTAAAAAAAAAGTTAAGAAACTAAGAAGCGATGGTAAATACACCATTTTAAAATACGATAAAATATACACGAGATGATCGTATACACGAGATTTAAAAAAATAGCGCTACTATTTTTTTTTTCTTATTATGTAAACGCGTTTTAAAATAAAGATTTTAAAATAAAAATTTTTAAAATTAAGATCAACAAAACAATAGATTTTGAATCGATGCGCTTTAAAGTCTTCGAAACTGCGTTTAATATACTCAATAACGCTGATATGGAAATTTTTCAAATAAATAATTTTGATTCTTGATATTTTAAACTAAACTTGAAACCACTAAGAATAATATTACAGTAATTCACATATATATAAGAAGCATAAATAAAAATTTTGACAAACTTAAGCACTTCCTAATTGATTGCAATTATTTATTCAGTATGATTTGTCTAACAGAAACTTGGTATTCTGATCAATCAATCCAAAATAACTTTAATATTCCCAATTATAAATTAACATCTTTTGAAAGAAAAAACATGCAAAAAGGGAGGAGGGATTGCAACTTGTGTTCGGAATGATCAAGCGATAAAAATAAGAAAAGACCACTTCATTTCTAATCCCGGTAGAAAGGTCTAACAATAGAAATCATAAATTCTAAGAAATCAAAATTCAAAGAAATCATGAGGTCTAACATTAGAAATCATTAATTCCAAGTTTAAAAATTGTTTAGTTTCGACCTGTTATAGACCACCTGAAGGTAATATTAAATTTTTTCTAGTTATCTAGAATAAATTTTTCTCAAAATTAATAACGAACAAAAAAAGTTTCCGATTACTAAATTATTTTTTGATAACATGTTTCAACACTGTATTATACCAATTATTGCTAAATTATTATTTATTTAAATTAATTAATTATTAAAAAACAAATGGAAACATCAAAAAAACATGGGACATCATGAAAGAAATAATCGGGAAAAAAAACAAGAAAACAAATAGCTTACCAGATAGAATTATTATTAATGAAACCGAACACGATGATAAAAACTCAAGTGCCGAACACCCCAACAATTTCTTCGCAAACATTGGTGAAATTTGTAGCAATATAGTAATGAGTATCTTTCCGATAATAAAAAAAAAAAAACTTTTTGAAATATTTAAATCTTCAACTCAATATTTCAAATTCAAATTCAATATTTAAATCTTCAATTATAACAGGAACCATTCTAGAGAAATTAAAAATTGCAAAAATTGTACCAATATATAAAACTGGAGATCCATATTTACTAAACAATTATAGACCAATCTCAATCCTTCCTGTATTCTTCCTTCTCAAAACTTCTCGAACGAATAATTTATAATAAACTATACAAATATTTAACAAACAACATCTTAAGTAAAAAACAATTTGGTTTTCAAAAGCAACATGCAACCAAACATGAAATCATAGATCTTGTAAATAGCATCAACTACTCATTTGGTAATAATGAATTCGTTCAAGGAATCTTTATAAATCTATCGAAAGCATTTGATATTGTTGATTATGAAATCCTGCTCAGAAAAATGGAAAAATATGGCGTAAAAAAATGTTCCATTACTCTGGTTTAAAATCTTTTTGCAAAACAGACAGCAATGTGTTAATACTAATAAAAATATCTGTTCAAAAATGCTAAAAATCAAATGTGGCGTTCCCCAAGGTTCCATTCTAGCTTCCTTAATGTTTTTAATATACATTAATGATCTTCCGAAAGCCTCAAACAAACTTGATGTCATAATGTTTGCAGATGATGCTAATTTATTCTATTCATCCCTGTCAATTACAGAACTTTTTGAAACAACGGATATTGAACTTGAAAAACTTAATATTTGGCTAAAATCTAATAAATTATCTTTAAACACAGAAAAAATTAATTACATCTAATTCCATCCCAATAAAAAAGAAAAAAACTACTAAATATATCGCCATTGCTAAAAAAAAGAAACCAAAAATATCGAAAGAACCATAACAACTAAATTTCTAGGTTTACTTATTGATGAAAATATTTCATGGAAAGCACATATTGACTATTTAAATATTAAAATAACCAAAAACTTTGGTGTGCTATACAAAGCTGGATCAATGTTTTCCCAAGAAAATCTAAAACATCTATATTTCTCATTTATACATACCTACCCAGACAGCCTCCCGCTAGCGGCTCAATGCTGGCCCAGTTCCGCTTGCAACTACGACGCGATGACGGCTGTCGATCACGGGCCTGCATCGAAACGGCCATTGGGCCAGCACTGGCCCGCTGCCATGGGCCAGCATTGGCCCGCAATCGTTCGCCAGCACTGGCTTGCAATCGTTTGCCAGCACTGGGCCAAAATCATTTGCCAGCACTGGCTCGCGATCGCTTACCAGCACTGGCCGATTATCTATTACCAGGTACTGATCCGTGATCATTTTCCAACATTTTTTCGTGGTCGCGTGAGATTACTAAAGCGTTACTTTTTACTAATACATTAGGACGTTATTATTAGCTGTTTCTGTACAAATGTATTATCCCGCATGAATCAAAAAAATAAATAATTTTCGAAATTTATTCCAACTTAAATCGAAAAAAATAAATAGTTATTTTCGAAATTTATTCCCAACCAAAAGTGTGTTAAAAAATAATGAAATAAAAAATAAAAATTTATTGATTTGTCAAAAGCATTTGACACTGTTAATCATGATATTCTAATAAAAAAACTAGAAATGTATGGAGTATTAAACAATAACTTACAATGGTTTAAAAGTTACCTTTCAAACAGGAAACAATACATAATATATACAGAAAATGAAGAAAAAAAACATATCATAACTTGTGGTGTTCCCCAGGGATCAATCTTAGGGCCCTTATTATTCATACTGTTCATTAATGATTTGTATTTAGCATCCAAAATTCTAAACGTTATTTTGTTTGCTGATGACTCAAATCTTTTTTACTCTAACAGAAATATTAAAGATCTGTTTAGAATTTTTAATGAAGAGTTATTAAAAATAAATGAATGGATTACGAATAATAAACTTTCATTAAATGTTGGGAAAACTAAATTTATGTTGTTCCACAAACCTAGTAAAGGTGATAACCTTTTTTTAAAACTACCTGGTCTCTTTATGAACAAAAAAGTTATTAACAGAGAGTCAACTATTAACTTTCTAGGAGTGATATTAGATGAAAATATATCATGGAAATATCATATTAGATCTATTGAAAATAAAATCTCCAAAAATATTTCAATGCTATATAAAGTTAAACCTTTTCTTAATACGGAATCTTTAAAAATTATATATTTCTCATTTATTCATAGTTATCTTTCCTATTGTAATCTTGCATGGGCAAGTACCAATTATGGGAAGCTCAAAAAAATTTATAGCAAACAAAAACATGCTTGTAGGATTATTTTTGGCGTTAACAGAACTGTTAATGGTGAATCTCTTTTAAAGAAACTTAATGTGCTTAATATTTACAAACTTAATATATACCAAGTTATGCTATTTACGTTTAAAACAAAACATGCGTTATCTCCTAATATATTTCAGTCTTACTTTACCGAAATATCTCATAAATATCCCACTAAATTTTCATCTGATAATTTTGTTATTCCAAGATCTTATTTAAAACTCAATTCATTTCAAATTCAATACCGGGGACCATTTATATGGAAAGGTTTTTTAAAAAATATAATTAAAAATAAAATTCTTCGAGGCATCTCCTTAGAACAATTCAAAAGAGAATCTAAAGGTTTGCTATTAAAAAAAACTTTCGATTTTAAAGATTTCTTCTAAAATCACCTAAAATAATTAAACCTGAAAAAGTCATCACTACTCATTTACTATTGTCTTGTGTATCTTGTTTATTTCTTATTAAAATAAAAAATATATATACTTTTAATTTTGAACAGACAAATAACATTTATTCGATTTATTACTTGTGTCTTATATTTGTCGAACTAATATTGCATTGTACTTCAATTTTTAACCTTTTAGTTTTTAACTTGTAACTTTGTGACGTTAATGTAAACGGGGCTTGGCGATAAGACAGTTTATGTCTTCTTCTTGCTCCGGCCAATTTTTATACATGAATGGTTTTTTCTCATTGTAAATTTAATTATACGGCAAAGAAAATATAATAATAATAATAAATATTAAAAATTCAAATTGTTATTTATGTAAATAACTTTTTATACAAAGAACGTGCCTCTCGAGCTTTTCTTCCGCCATTTCGATCCCCAAAAAGCAAAAAATATCTCTTCAGTTAATGTTTAAACTCTTCTCCTCAGTTCTTCTTCAGTTAATGTTTAAACTCTTCTCCTGATGCTCTTGAGGTTAAAGCTTTTTGCAGCATCTAAATAACACAAAATTAAACTGTGTGAAAAATAGTAAACAATTAAACTAAAATGTATGATTAAAATGTACATTACACTCACATATATAAACGTTAGGATAATAAAAAAAAATTTTTTTTTAAATATTCTGCACCTCAACCCTATTGTATTTAACAAAACAACACTAGATATAAAATTTAAAACAATATTTAAATATAAGACAAGTTCATATTATTATCGAAAAAAAAATTATATAAAAATAACTCCAAGAATAAATTGCGAGATTACTATTAACCAATGCAATGAAGTGTTTTTTTGCTCACATTCGCAAGAAACCATCTCACAGATAAACATCCATTGGATGCCACTTAAGACCCCAAAAACTAAAATAACAAAAAATTAACAATGAAACAGTTAAATTCAGTTTACTAATGCTTACTATGTGCTTCAATTTTAGCATTAGATGCAACTGATGATGCAATAATGATTTATGGAGCTATGAGAGCTTTAATTCATCCAGCAACTGATCAGCACGCAACAAAGTTGATATCATCTCAATAGGCAACAATAAAATATTTTTATTTTTCTTCAATCAAAGCACATTTTTTAGAATTAAAGCGCTAAAAATAAATTAAGAAATTGTCACCTTAAAAAGCACTTTTATAAATGAATTCTTCATTAAAAAAAACTTTCTAGTCAATAAAATACAATACCATAGAAGTGGACGGGTCTCCATCCCATCAGTTGTTTAAGTCATTGCTTTCGAAAAAAGTCCATCAATTTAACTTGATAAATTTTCATGCATATTTGTGTCCTATTTACATAAACTAACTAAAAGATTGTTTCAGAACATTTTGCAATTTAGTTACAAAAAGAAAAAAGAATATTCAAATGAAAAAAGTTTAAAAACACGTCCTCTTCTAAAACTTCAGAAACAGAGCCTTGTCTAAAAAAGTTATTTATTTTTAAATGATCTGAAAAAGTCAAATTTTCAATACATAAAAATGTCAAAGGAGGAATAGCATTGGCTGGAGCAAGCGTCTTTTTTTATTATTTACAACTTTCTTTTTTTTTCAGTAACTGTGGAGTGTTAGTTTCTGAACTTAAATATACAATTTTGTGATAATATACTTTTTATAAAATACTTAAAATGAGCCAACATCATGATATGATGATTACCATCTAAATTACATATGCTCATCATTATCACGTATATTATATCATCATCGCAATCATCATGATCATTACCTGGTAGGACAAAGACTTTTCAAAAATCTATTTAATTCTAAATTTATCAGGGTTTTACTGTCAATGATTGAAAAAAAGTCTGAATAAACTTTTGCCATAGGTAATTTTTCTCTTGTTTAGTCATATGTAACTAAAAAAAATCAAAATAGTAAAAAAAATGTTAGAAAAATACTTCAAAATAAAAAACAAACAAAAAAATATACTATATAGAAAATAATATAGAAAAAATATATTAATATAAAAAATATATATATTTGTAAAAATATACATAAAACCAGAGTTAATCTAATCAATCTAATCATTCATATAATCTTTACATTTTTTAATGGTAAATGTGACGAGTCTTAAAGGACCATTCACAAATACCATTTTGTTACCTAAACTAAAAAAAATTAAAAAACAAATTAACAAAAGAAAAAAAAAACGAGAAAAGAAAAAGGAAAAAAAAAAACCAAAGTTAAAAGAAAAAATACATTCGAAAATGGAAAGTAATTAAAAAGGAATTAAAATAAAATATAAAAATTGCTCCATTTTGGAAACAAATAAAAAAGAATATTTTTTAAATTTTATTATTTTGGAGTGACGATATGTGTTTGCTTGATATGATTTACTTTTTTACTTTAATATTGTCATTATTTATAAAAACTCTATAGTTTTAATTGAATATTTTTTGTTTTGTTTATTTATTGTTACTTTTTAATGAAGTAAAAATTTTATTTTTATCGTTTTTATAATGGTTATTGATATTAAGATTATTAATTTTATTAAATTATTGTTACTTTTTTTTTGCAGTAATTGTTTAAGCTGCATGGATGGTTATTATGTTTTGTCAGTACATAACTGTATGTAACTTTCCTGTCTGTGCATTATATTCAATTGTTGTTTTAAAAATGATATTGGTTTATTATCATATAATTTTCTTATTATTCTTATAACTTTTAATTTATCATCATTATTATTATTTGTATTATCAATCCTAATTCATGGTATTTACTTAAAGTTAGTTTTTAACTATTTTTAATTGACCTTGATTGTCAACAACTCGATAAGAAAAGCTATATTTTCTTAAATTCAAGCGACAAGATTGTTTGCTTATTTTATAATTATGACCCCGGGTGTGGCTGTTATTGTAAATCGCAAAGAACATAGATGATCAGTACAGAAAAGTTGACAAAAAGTTTTAAAGCAAGTTACTAAATTGTTTTTAAGGCGCCGAACTTCGAGTGATTCGATAGCAAGCAACTGTAATTTATTATGATAGGAAAGATTTCTGAGGCTCCTTATTTTTTTTGTGGACACTTTCAACTGATTTAATCAATCCAATTCGGTGTGGTGACCATACTGGAGAAAAATATTTTAAAATTTGTCGTATATAGGTAGTGAAAGCTCTAACTAGGATACAAGGGTCACGTGTTTTAAAACATTTAAAAATAAATTATGCTCTAGAGTTAGCTTGATGGATGACGTAAAAATATGTTTTTTCATAATTAAGGTTACAGTCCATTGTTACTCTTAGATCTTTTGGGTTTTAAGACCAAGCCAAAGAATATTCACCTAATTTATAATTAACCTTTATACCTTTGCATAATGAGCGAGGTGCTATTCTAAGTGCAAAACACTTACTACAAGTAATTGTTAGTTGCCAAGTTTCTGCCCATTGTAAAAGTCTATTTAAAGCAACAACTAAATCTTGGCTTAGATCCATATCACAGTACTATATAACTTTATATTATCTGCGTAAAGTTTTACACAACAGTCCAGGTTATTAGTTATAGCGGTTAAATCATTAACATATAATAAAAACAATGTGGGATCTAACACACTACCCTGTGGAACTCCACTAACAATGCGTATAGAGTTTGATATAGAATTACAAATAATATTAATATAATAATGTTATTATTAAAAGAAAACACTTGAGACACAACATAATAAATAATAAAATAAATAATAAAGCACTTTTGTTATCAAGAACAAAAATAAACAATGTACAAACTATAACAAGTGCAATAAGATACACTGGAGAAAATTGTCATTTAAATTTGCAACATGTTCAACTTTTTCTAAATTTAATGCTAAATATTCCTAACAAACTTGAATCATAAGGATAAGTAAGAAAATTTGATTTTGTCAAAAATTACTAGTACACAATATAGATCGTCTTGTCAAAAATATAAATACTTTTCACTAAACAAATTTTGTTGTCTAACACAAATATTGCCACATGTTGCTTTAAGATAAAGATTTGGTAAGTAAACATCATTACATGATATACACTATACACATACACATGTATATGATATACACTATACGCATACACATATACAATATACATATACATATACATATACTTATAAATATACATATACTTATACATATAATATATTGAATATAGTATAAATATTACAATAATATTTTTGTGATAGGACAATGTAAATAGTACAAGACTAATTCAAACCAGAGACCTTTTAAAAAAACAAAACAAAAACAAAACAACACACACACACACACACACACACACACACACACACACACACACACACACACACACACACACACATATATATATATATATATATATATATATATATATATATATATATATATATATATATATATCGACTAAATGAAGATTTTTAATTTTTTAAAAAACTTAGATGAAAATAAAAAAATGCCAACAATAATTTAATCTAAAAATTGTGACAATAAAGAAAACAAATTGACTAATATTGTATTTTTTTAAAGAAAAATAAAGGAATAGTGGCACCATGTTAACTTTTTAATTGTTTATATTGAAGTTAACATAATGGCTGCCACCATTCCTCCTTTGTCGATCTCTTCTTGCGCAACCACTTCCTGTACCTCTTCTGCTGTTGTCTCCAGCACCCTTGTTTGGGGGATAATAGGGCCATCTAAAAAGGGGGTCATCTTTGCCCCCAAACCGGACCCAACGCAAATATGACTTGTTGCTGGTGGGGTCCAGGATGCTGGGTCCTGTAAATTTTGTAGGCTTCATATGTAAGCTCTATAAAATAAATAATAATTATAATAGTATCAAATGGCATTATGTAACACTTTATACAAATCTAAATATATAAAATTATTGACTAATAAATCACTTATAGGTAAACAAATTCTTAATAAAAGTAAAAATTTAAATACTTCCTTTTTATGAGAACTCAAATGAGAACACAATATAAATGTATTAAACAGTGTATATTAATAGGAATAATAAAAATGATAACCATTCAGATACATTTTTGACACAAATTTACAAGCAGAAGGTTGAGCAGGTGAAACTAAAGGTAGAAAAAGTTGTTATTTAAAGATATTTCAATTGCTGAGAAATGCGCACACATTAAAAAGTAATAGTTTTTAGACATACCAGTTGTTGCAGATGAACATGAAACTAAGGTTAAAAAGTTGTAATAAGAAAAATTGCAATTAATGAAAAATGCATACACAATTAGAAGTTAAAATTTTTAAAACTTACCAATCGCAGAAGATGTAAACGGTTCTAAGGTTTAAAAGTTGTAATAAAAAATTAATATAGCAAATGATGAATAATGTATAAACATATTAACAACTAATATTATTTAGACACTAAATAATACCACTTGATGCAGATGACGATAAAACTAAGGTAAAAAAGTTGTAATAAAAGAAAAATATAGCAATTGATAAAAAAAGACATACATAATTAGAAATTGAAAGTTAAAACTTACCAATCGTACGAGCTGAAGACGATCTTAAGGATAAAAAGTTGTAATAAAAAACTAATATTTCAAATTATAAAAAATGAATATACATATAAAAAAGTAATATTATTAAGACATACCATATGATGCAGAAGACGATAAAACTAAGTAAAAAAGTTAATAAAAACAAATAATGCAATTGATGAAAAATGCATACAAATATTAGAAAGTAAAGTATTTAAAATATACCAATTGTAGCAGATGAGGATGCTCCTCAGTTTAAAAAGTTTTAATAGATATTGCATTTGTTGAGAAATGCATACACATATTACACAGTAATAGTTTTTAAACTTACCACTTGTTGTAGTTGAAGTTGGAACTTAGGTTAAAAGATTGTTATAAAAATAAATGTTGCATTGATAAGGAATGCATAACAGGTTTTTAGGACTTACCAACTGTACCAGATGAAGATGGTTCTAAAGTTAAAAAAGGAGTAAGACACCGCAACAAAAAAAAATAAGTGTGGCATTAAATATATTCACAGAATAAAAATTACTGGTTTTCAAAATTGATAACTATAGCAAGTGATAAAAGGAGAGATGATTAAACAAAATATGAGTTAAACCTAGGCAAACATGTTTAAACTGTTATTACTATGATTCCTAACAGAAGTTATTATATACAAACTTACCAATGGTAGACCTTGTTGATACAACTAAAGTTAACAAAAAAATTGTACAATAAAAAATAACAGTTTGTTATTGTCAAAAGTTCAAAAAATAAAAATTAAATTATAAAGATTATATGAGTATAAACAAGAAGCTAAAATTAAGAATGGGTATATACTTATCTAAACAATAAACATATATAATAATATTATAGTTTATTGTAGTATATTATATTATAGTTAATAATATTATAGTTTTTTTTTAAATATAAGATACAATTATTATTGTATAATACCTTTTTTTTGATGTATACTAATTAATATAATAATTATATAAATTAGTATACATCAAAAAAAAGGTATTAGACAATAATAATTGTATCTTATATTTAAAAAAAACTTTAGAAACATTGAGTTAATGCAAAAATATTATGGGAACTATACTTACGAAATCTCAAGAAATCTATAGATTAATAGTGCTAGGATCTAAACAAGAAGCAAATACAAGACATGCTTGTATGATTTAAATAATATTTAAAGGATGAAGTAATAATACTACTTCATACAATACTACTAGTATACAGCAGGAAAATGATAAAAGATGATGAGTGTAATTTTTATATTATTTTTAAACTAAACACTAAAAAATATGTTTGTTAAGAATAAATCAATATAAATTTGATTTGTAGACTTCTATTGAAATTAAGAAAAAAAGTAGCAAATTATACAAATCATAAAATAATGTATTCTTAACAAAGTATTTGTTAATACACAAATAAGTATTTTTAATACTTATTTGTGTATTAACAAACTTTTATACTTAAATGGTGTTTTAATTAATCTTTGAAATAATACTTTTATCTATTAATAAAATCAAAAACAGTTTTAATCTAATACATTAATCTTTCTTATAATTTTGATTATCTTACCAAGATAAACAAAAAGAGTAAGGTTTTTAACATTTATGTTATTGTTTTAAAAATAGTTATCAATAATATAATTATAAAAAAAAAAATTTGCTTAATATCTGTTAAAGAATCTATATACTTGTGCAACTCATTTTTTTCCATTTTATACTGTTATCTAATAATTAAAATAAAAATAATGCAGAAAATTTTTTTTTTTAAGAACCAGCCCCCCTATCCGCCCCCGTATTTATATAGTGTTCGCTGTTACCGAAAAAAAAATCATAAAAACAGAAAGTAGGTACCAAAAGTGCTGCACTTTTTAAATACCTGCTCCCTTTTTTTGGCTAAAATTTGGCAGGTAAAAAGAACTATTGTTCCTTATATAAGGAACAATAGTATTAAAAAAGTTGGAATTAGAATTTCAAGAAAAAAAGTTGGAAATAGAATTCCTAGAAAAAAAGTTGGAATTAAAAAAAGAAGTATATACTTCTTTTTTTATTACTTGTATTAATGTTGTTTACTTTCTTTATTATTTGATTGTTTTAATAATTTTTTATTTTATTTGTTTATTTTATTAAGGTGTCGCTTTATTGACTACTTTTTAATATGAGTGACATCGAACATAAATTTGTAAATTATAATTAAGTTTGTAATTTTTGATTTTATAGTTAATTAACCATAAGCTCAAGCGTAGTATGTACAGTAAGGTTTTTTTTATCCTTTTATTTAATTAATTTAATGGATAAAAAAACTTTGCTGTACATACTACACTTGCGTCAAGACTGTCAAGCATGCCGTACATACTGCACATCAAAGATCAGCCTAGGGATTACATACACAAATAATGGAGAGATCCATCTCTTTTCACAAACATAATTTTGACGTTGTTAGAAAAAAAGTCTGTAGTATCTATATATCTCTCCAGGTACATAATACGACCTCTCAATTGTGCTGAAAAAAGGCAGCCATATGTGTGTGCAAAATTTAAATCACTGTCAAACTTGTGTCTGGTGTTTGCCCTGTCCTCTGACGTGCCGGAAACGGCAAGCAATAATTGCTTGCAATAAATCACTGTCAAAAAATTTTAAATATTGAATTAATAAAATTGAAATGAAATAACCAAAAAAAATGTTTTAGAAATACAAATGAGTACAAAATTATACAAATGAGTACTTTCAGAGTAGAGGATTTGAAAAAAGTACGGTTTGTGAAAAAAGAGTACAAAACTCAGTAAATGAGAATAGTTGGTCACCTTAATTATCTACATAATTTTTTGGTAGATTTTAAAGTTCTTGCAAAAGATGGTTTTATCTATGAAAATATTGATTTAAAAACAATTTTGCTGTTATCATTTGTGATGCACTAGCTAGAGCATTTGTAAAGTGTATTAAAGGACACAATGGTTATAACTGATGTGAGTGTTGTGTTTCAGGGTTGGCAAAAACCCTGTTTTTTAAAAAAAACATGGCACAGTTGTTTTTTTTTAGGTAATTTTGGGTTTTGTTGGGTAAATTTGGGTTTTTTTGGGTTTTATTTTTATTTTGTCTCTAAAAAATTTTTTTTTTTTTGTGTAATGATATTGAAAATTAGTTTCATTTTCTACTTTAACTTTATTTAAAGTATATTTTATATATTGTTATTTAATGATTTATAACAAGAATTTTTCAAATTATTTTGAAAAAGATTTTTAATTATAATTTAAAACTGTAAGAAAAAATTTTTTACATTAAATCTATATGTATTGATTTATTTTAAATTTAAAGTATTAATCTATATAATTAAAAATGTTAATGAGAAATGGGAAAAAAAAGGCTAGAGAATGAGAGGTAGTAACTAAAGTTTCAATTAAACTTTATACTTAAAATTCAAATGAACACACTTGTTTCTCTGCACAGTTGCCTTGTTTATAAAAATTTGTGTTAATGAATTAAAGAGTTGAGAGAGGCTTGAAATCATAATAACGTAGCCTCCTTGACTGTAGTGGGCTTCTCTTGCAAATTTAGGGGCCCTTTTACAAATGTAAGGATTTTTTTTATTTAGTATTCTTACTCAGATTTTCTTTATCTATTGGAAAGGTTTTTAAGAATTTTGAGGCCCTTATGACAGTTTTTTTTTTTTTGAATGGGAGGGGGCTTGTATCTACATATATATCAAATTATATACAGTATAAATAAAAAAATATATATATTTAATAATTTTATATAAATTATTTATCAGTAACTAAAGGAATGTTATTAATTTATTATATGAATCATAAGCATGTACTTATCTATTAAAAGTACATTTTAATGTCGATTATAAAATTAAATCGACGTTAAAATCATTGTGTAATGAGGTTTTCAAAGAAGTCGTTTTAACAACAATGGAAAAGCTTCCAATTTCTGAGATAACATTCGATACATGACTAAAGAATCGTTTGAAAGTTTGCTTAATTTTGACAGTGTAATTTTAATTACTATTTTTTGAAATAAACTAATCAAGTTATATATAAATTTGCTTTTTCTGTATATTTTAAACATTTAAACGTAGTTTTGCAAGATTTGCAATGGGTAAACCTCGTGGGATCCTCATGGGATACCCGGCCAGCATACCCATATGGGCCCCAGAAGAAAACCGCGGCCAAGATCCGGTGGGTTCCCGATGGATTTCCTATATGGGTCCTATTTGCAAACTCAAATGGGTCCTTTACGGTTTTAAAGTACGGGATTTGACTGGGACCCGGATTTAAATACGGGATATCCGGCGGGCTAACCCATATGGGTCCCATATGGAAACCGCGGTCATGATCCAGCGGGATATCGTTGGTCTTCCTATACGGGACCCAGTTGACGACCCGTATGGGCCCCGTACGGTACCCGTATGTCAACGTTGGCTGGGTATTATACATAGCAAATATGTGAAGAAGAACTGAATCGGTGGCATTCAGTATTTGCATCAGTCTGAATCTTACAGACAATTGCTCTTAAGGCTTTTCTGATACCGATAAAAGCAAAATGTTTTAAAACTGCAGTTTGCTGGTTTGAGTCTGGAGCCTTTTTTTAAACAGTGGTGTTACGTTTACCAAAAAGCTTCATTTTTGAGACTAAACCTAATCCAGCAATTTCTGATGGTAAATTGAGTAGCCGCAACATCGGCATATGCTTTAAGTACTGGCGCTGATCCAGTCACCTCAAGTTGATTTATTGGCGTTGAGAGAAGATAAGCATTTGTGAAAGGAGTCGTAGTTGAAAATAATGGAGTAGATTGAAGTAGTTTTTCATTTGATAAAGGGCGGTAGAGGTTGATCTGACGATTTAAACATGAATACTGATTGGAACTGATTGTGTAGTATATTGGCGATGAACTCTCAGTTGCTGCTTATTTTCCCAGAAGATGAAGAAATAATAGTTATTTGGTTGCCAATAGCGCTTTTATTGTTAATATAGGCGTAGAAACGCTCAGGGTTACGTTTGTCAATGGGTATTTTGTGTTAAAATTTTCTAATGGGATTAATGATGTGCAGGTATAAATTTAGGTCAAAAAATATTTCTGCAAATTTACTGCCTAATCTAGTTTTGGCGCTAGTTGCAGTAATTCAGTAACCATGCCATATAACTTTGGGAAAGTTGAAGTTACTGGTGATTAGGCAAAGGTTGGAGCGTTGTTATTAGATGGGCTATAGGTGCAGCCAATTAGGAGAAATTCATGTTGGAGTTTATGTTCGAGGCAGAATTATTCTGAGAGTCTGCACTAAAAACCGTTGTAAAGTTAAGAATTGTCAATAGGACAAATAGTATTGCTGTTATGAAACCGTAACACTTTTGCGTATTTCGGTTCAGTTTAGGTTCTTTTCAACCTTTCACACCATAGTGGAAATATTGCGTGCAATAAAGATGCACCAGAGGTTGATCAAATTTTTGAAACCACAATATCTTGTACAGTTATAATCTAAATTTTGAAAATATTTTGTCGATATCTTATAAAATAAAAGGAGGGGGGGGGAGGGTGTTTTAGATTTTTGGCAATTCAAGATAGGTAACTTTCAGAGATTGCTAACTTGAAGTTTTGTAATATTAATACTAGAGTCATATAACAATGTTTTACCAAAAAAAAAAAAAAAAAAAAATAGGAGCCTGGGAACAAACTCAATATTAAAAACTTGGGTCCTTGGCCCTATGTATGGGGCCAGGAGTAATGAAATAAATGTAATTTTTTAAAAATAATATCTAAACTAATTATAAAAGTTCATCAATAAAAATTTCATCAACAAATCATTTGTTGTTTTCAATTATATGCTCATTTACCCTAAACGAATAACTGTTCACAACTTTTAAACGAAAATTTTTTTTCGAATAAAATTCGAAATCTGTCTTGTTTTAATTTTTGTTAATATAAAATTGGAAAAAAAAGGGGAAACAAGTTGAGCGCGGTACTACTGGGGACGTGGTAGTGAATATTTCGGCATTTCTTTTGCTGATAGATTTAATGTCAATCTATATCGTGCCGGTGACACTTTAGTACAATAATAAAACCTAATAAAATAATATTTTTATTTTTTATTTCAGATTTATTAAACAGCCACTATACAAGTAAGGTAAATTAAGAGTTTCATACAAGATAAATATAAAAAATTTTTCTTTTTTTTTCTTTTTTTTATTTTTCAACGTGATCATCTTGGAATATGTTTTTCAAGAATGTCCTTGAAGATAGTTCTCTGCTCTTTTAAGTTCCAGTACTCAACTGCACATTTTAGAGATTGAAGATCCGTTTCAGGAATTAAATTTTTGAGGCCGACAATTTTTATTTTTTTTTTACTTTCCATTATTGTCTCCAGATTTAGTTCATGATTATTGTACAACCCTTTGATACCATCTAAAAAAATGTTGTGGGGCTGTTTTGTTTTTCAGCTGCGACCTAATAATATCATATGTCATTTTATTGTTCATCAAACGAATAAATAAGTTTAGCTTGTTTTGTTGTATAATAATTGATATACCTTCAATAAAAAATAAGGTATGAATATAATTTTTTGCTATGTTTTGAACCATCGAGGAGTGACTTAAGTGCATTTCTTCCAACTATATCAAGCTTTTGCATTAACATTTTTTTATGTTCACACAGCTCAAGACCATACGTTAGTGTTGGAACAGCTAAATTTTATATAACTGAACAATGGAGTTTGGGTGAGCAAAACGGATTCCTGATTGAATTAAGGTTTGGATTACCGTCCGGAAATTAGATATTCGATGATCAATGTTTGATTTATTAAGTGAGGCAAAAGGGGAACTTTTTGTATCCCATGTAAAGCCTAGATGACTAAGTTTATCATGAAGTTTTATTTGTTGGTGGTTGAGAGTTATTGTGCAGTTTTTAATTTGCTTTTTTCCGGTGAGCAGGAACTCGGTTTTGTCAGCATTCAATTTTATGCAGTTTTTGTGTGTGTACATATTACATATATTAATAAGCTTTTGTAGGCCAGAGAGGGTGGAGCTAAGGAGTATAATGTCATCAGCATATGCTACAACACCTTTCGTTTTGTAATGTTTCTAGTAGGTTTTGAGTATAAATGTTATACAAATGAGGCGAGAGAATAGATCCCTGTCTCACTCCTTGCGTTAGATAGAAAGGATATGATTTGCAATCTAGATAAGAAACAGAAGCACTGCTTTCATAGTATAATGATGATATGGTATTAACAATATACAGAGGGAGTTTTTTATCATTGTACAGTTTCTCAAACAGAATGTCCCAATTGCAGCTGTCAAACGCTTTTTCAGCATCTAGAGAACAGAGATAGACAGGTGAGTTGTTGTTGTTGTAGAGTTTAATTGTTTCACTAATAACAAATTCAGCGTGTAGGGTTGAGCTATTTTTAGTGAAACCGAATTGAAGAGGATGAGTTTCTTTTATTTCTGGACAGATTAGAAGGATAAGATATTCTATTAGTTTCGTAAAGATTGGAATGATGCTAATGCCGCGGTAGTTATTTGCATATAGGTTTGCAGAACAAATTATTTCCTAGTTAAATAAGTTAAAACGGCTTTATGCAAGCCCTGGATATTTTGCATAACAAACCATAACCATAAAAAACATACAATAAAAAAATTTTACGAAATGTTATGACAATACTTCGATAAACTGTAGTTAACTTTTTAAGTTAAGCATAGTTTAAATCATAAAATTAACAAATACAGATAACTTAGGTAATATCATATATGCAGAATTTAAAAATTAAAATAAAATTTGTCAGTTAAAAATAAACAAAATTTTGGGCTCTTATAATAGAGTTCATTTTGATACTATAATAACAACATGGCAAACGAGTGCGAAGAACTTCTTCAAGAAGTTAGAAACGAAATTTCAAATTCCAGCGAAGACGAAGAATGTATATTTACGTATCATCAGCCCTCAATTTCAGATGAAATCCATGTCGGTATTTGTAGCAGAGATTGTGCTAGTCAGACAAGTGTCACTGAAATACTAGAATTCAAAAAAATTTCTCATGTGTTATCTGTATTGGTTAATAATATTTCTGATTTAAAAAAAAGTTTGCATTATGCAAAGCTAAAGCTGCAAGCTGAGTACAGCAGTCAACTAGAAAATATCGTTACAGAGCTGCATGCTGATGTTAACAAAAAGTTTTTAGATCTGCAATCAAAACATCAAGAACATATTAATGTTGTTAGAAGAAGTTTTAAAACTCAACTAGCAAATGCAATTGCTCAACTTTCAAAAGATTACCTTACTTATAATACAAAAGAAGAAGTTCTAAGTTGTAAAATTGCTAACAATAATATAAGTGAAACTAGAGAAATAAAAAAAGAGCCTCCAGTTAATAAAGAAATAGATACCAATTTAGATAACCTAGATGAAATGGCAAAGTTATATGCTTTAAAATTAGATGAGGCTGTAAAACAGCAAGAGTATAATTCTTTAAAAAAGTATACAAAAGATTTAGAATCAAAGATTGCAGATTTAGAAACAATATTAGAGATAGTAAATAATGAAAAAATGGCTGTAACTTCTGAAAAAATTACTTGTGCTAATAGTTTGGAAGAAGAAAAAAAAAAAGTTGCAAAATTGCTTGCGGAATTGTCTGTTCAGCAAAAAGAAATTTTAAAAGTTCAGCAACTTGGTGAAGCAAAACTTATTGAACAGGAATTCAAGTTTAAATCAGAAATAGAAAACCAGGTTCGAGTTGCATGTGAATCAGTAAGGAATGAACTAACTAATGACTTTTTAGAGAAGTCAAAAGAAGCAAAGGTAATTCAATCAAAAGATAGCGAAGAACATATTAACAAAATACAAGAAACTAGTAACAAGTTAAAAGTCCCAGTTACTTATCCACCTTCAAAATTTCAGGATAGACAACGCTTTGAGCGTATTATGAACGAGCAGCAGTTGGAAATCGCCAAGCTTGAAAAGGAATTAGCTCAAAACAAAAAAGTGTGGAGCTTAAAAGTGAAGATTCTCCAACAACAAATCCATGCTTTAAAAGATGAAATGTTTTTACGTACAACCTTGCAGAGGAAAACTATTAAGATGCGACATGTTACAGTAGCTCTTAAAACAACATTAAAAAACAAATCTGTGTCAACTGGAGAAAATTTTATAGAAATGATTGACAACAAGTCACGCAAATATTGTTTGCCAGCAATCATTCAGTCACCATCTTAATAATATTGCAGTTATAGTAATATAACTTTACTTTATTTTAGTGGTTGTTTCTCCATAGACAGTTACCGTTTTGATAGTAACTGACAGTTAGATTATATTATGGTTATTATAGTTTTTGAAAAAAATTGATTATTATAAAAGATATTTATTGATTGTTTTGTTTAAAAAGAATTTCAACACAGTTTTGTTTAGAATTAGCTTTTGAATTGCATTTTTAAGATTAATATTGCTTTAGAATTTTTTTAGTTATAGTTTAAAACAAATTCATTTTAAACTATAATTAAAATACCATTTATTTTCAGAAAAGCTTTTAAACTTTTTAAAACATTTTTTTGTATATGATAACTTTTTTTCATTTTCTATTTGGTTATTATTATTATTTTTTCATCATTTTCTATGTGGCTAACTTTTCTAGTTTTACTTTATAATTTCAAGGTTTTTTTAGATAAATATTTTTTATTGAATATATGCTAATGTTTTTAACATGTTTGATAAAAATTTCAAGTTGTTTAGTATCACTAAATACACCTCAAATCTCTCTTGTTTAATCTTGTTTATTCAAAAACATTTCCAGGTATCACAGTTTGAAGTTTTGTTTAGCTTGGCACTTGAGAGTGTTTATTAAATTTGTTAAAAATATTAAATATCTTTTCTCAACAATAGCTTGTTATAAGCATAGCATTCTTTTTACTTTATATATACCATAAAATCGTTTTACGTTTTAAAAAGTTTATTATAAATACAGTTGGTGAAAGATTTTAACAAAATTTTTTTTATTGTATTCAGTGATTATTAAAGTTTTTTTTATATAAAATTTTTTCGTTTCAGATGATGAGGCAACTTTTCATGTTTCAGGTAGATTAAATAGACACAATGTTAGAATCTGGGGATCAGAATAGCCCCATGTGACTAGGAAGCTTCATCGGGATAGTCTAAAAGTGAATTTGCTGCTTGGAATCATGTGCAATCTAATAATTGTTCAATTTTTCTTTAGTGAGGCAACAGTTACTGTTCATCAGTTCTTCAGTCTGACATTTTGCTTTCTTTCATTTACTGAGATTTTGCACAGAGCACATATTATTTTGTGTTTCCAGAACAATAGCAGATTGGAAGAGATAAGCATAATCCTTGGCCAATGCATTCCCCAGGTATTATTCCCTTGGATTTCTTTGTATAGGTTATGTTAAAGATGTTGTGTATCAAACATAGGTATGTGGCATTGCTGACTTGAATCAAGGTATTGAAAAACTAGACTGATTAAAACTATTAAGTTTAATCTTGGATTATGCCTCCAACAAACTTATATTAAAACTCAAAGAAAGCATGTACATAGAGTGGGAAAAACCCACTATTAATAAACAAATGAACCATGTAAAAATGACAAATTCAATCTAATTCCTTTTAACATTACTGGTTCTTTTATCTTTTTTAAAATATTTGTTACATTTTTTAAATGCATTTTTATTGTATTTTTTATTATATGGTCTCAACTTAATTTTAATAATTTGATTTAAGCATTTTAATATATTTTAAATGATGATGGCTATGTCGAAAGTATGTATTTATAAAGTAAATGATTTCAACAAAAATTAAAAAAATTATCTTGTTTATTAGAAAATTTACACATTTTGTGCTAAAGAGAAACTTTGGATATATATATATATATATATATATATATATATATATATATATATATATATATATATATATATATATATATATATATATTTGTGCTAAAGAGAAACTTTGGAAATATATATATATATATATATATATATATATATATATATATATGTGTATATATATATATATATATATATATATATATATATATATATATATATATATATATATATATATATATACATTTTGTGCTAAAGAGAAACTTTGGAAATATATATATATATATATATATATATATATATATATATATATATATATATATATATATATATATATATATATTTCCAAAGTTTCTCTTTAGCACAAAATGTGTAAATTTTCTAATAAATAAGATAATTTTTTTAATTTTTGTTGAAATCATTTATATATATATATATATAAATATATATATATATATATATATATATATATATATATATATATATATATATATATATATATATATATATATATATATATATATATATATATATAGGGGAGGTAGGGGGCATTAGGCACTTTTTTATATAAATGCTAAATAATCTGTTATTTTTTATTATAATCAAAATCTTATTTCAAATAAATCTAGCACACATATTTGGCATTAATTATTGCTAAGAAGAGTTTTAGTATTATAATTAGTTGCAAAGTTACAAAGGATTTTCTAACACATGTCCAAAGTGCCCAAACTTTCCTGGGTTGGGAGGTTTGGGCACCCCTATGGGGAGGTTTAAGCACTGTATTTAATATGCACGATATTGTTTTACTATATTATTATGCTTAAGTGTTATATAGCATTGCTATAAAAAATTGTAACACAAACATTTTTTCATATCATAGACTTTACAAAAGATTAAACAATGTTACTTGGAATCAATACTCCACGATGTTGGACCTATAAAACTTATCTTAAATTTAGTATGACTCAGAGAGGCTTGTCATAATTTATATTTTTTCCTGTCGATGTCAGGAAACATAAACATATATCTTATCTTACTTGCTATCATGAATTTGACAGTTGCCATGGAGTGATTAACCTCTCTGACAATTATAACATAATGATAAACAGTTTTTTGGTGTCAAATTTAACCAACACAAAGTTATTGACCTGTAAATTTCTATCCGGAAAAATCACATCGTCTACATTAAAATCTTCTCCCGATGAATCGATTTCAACAAGGGCTTTGTCAGAAATGGAAACATTTTCTATTTCATCATCACTACTAATCTTCCTGTTTTTCTCGTTTTTAGAGCATTTTCGATTTTTTTTTGAGCTCTTTGATCTTATTTTGTTTTTTTTCTTCTTCAATTTTTATAAGTCCTTTCTCGGGTGTGTCTGTCAATATTCTAGTTTTTCCTTTTCTCCTTTTCATGCCATCCAATTTCCTGGGGCCGGCTTTCAGATATGGTCTTACTAAATTAGGTGTTACATTGACAGTGCCACTAGTCTGGCTTTTAGATTGAGATTTAATTCTAGTCTCAGATTTTCTTCTGTTGAAGGCTGTTCCATGATAGGTTGGTCTGAAATCGATTTTTCTGTAGCAGCATTGTTTTCTTCCGGCAAGTAATGATCAGTTATAGAAGAACAAACGAAACCTTCATCAGAGAAAATGTTTGAATTGAATGGCCAAATGCCAGGTTTTTCAAATCTTGTTTGAATATTTTGCAACTTGAATGCAAGTGAGATAGCCTTTGCTGCTAATTTTGGGGTTTCATAAATTGTTACCATTTTGCCAGGATTGCTCACCATCCAATCTGTTACAGCAGTGCAGGGTTGGCATTAAAAAACCCGCCCAAAAAACCCACCCAATAAAACCCGCCCAATAAAACCAAAAAAAACCCGCCTAAAAAAACCCAATAAAACCCTGGAAAATCTGGGTTTTATTGGGTTTTTTTAAAGATATTTAATAAGTTTATGAACTATTACAGCCAACTTTAACATTATAACTATAATATTATTAACTAAAATAATTATTAACTATTATTATTAACTAAATTATTATTAACTATTATTATTAACTATTATAACCAACAATAACAGCTATTATAACCAACTACTAATTTAACAATAATTAATAAACAACAACTATTATAACCAACAACAACAACAACATGAGAACAGGTTTACTATTATTTGAATCATTATTTGGAAATAGATTATTACAATTTTTATTCAAATATATTTATCGATTGAGATTTTTATAACTTTATGTTATTCACCTCCCAAGTTGAATTTAAATGAGTACTTGTGACCAGAGAAGCTAACACAACAGTCGAGGAGGCTACCTTGTTGTGGTTACAACCCTCTCTCAACTCGTGCGCGGTAGTGGTGTTGTGGTAGAGTGCTCGCTTCATAAGTGAGAGGTTCCGAGTTGGATCCCCACCACGTCCCTGGCAGTACCGCGCTCAACTCCTTTCTCCGTGCAGCGGCCTTGTTCGTCAAGGTTCGTATTTCGTAGTTATAGAGAGGGTTATAACCACAAATAAGTAGCCTCCTTGTCTGTAGTGGCCTTAAGCCTTGAGGAAGTGAATTGATTAAAAAAAACAAAAAAACTCTTTAACTCCTAAACACGAATCTTTATAAACAAGGCCGCTGCGCAGAGGAACAAGTTTGTTCATTTGAATTTCAAGTTCAAAGTTTAATTGAAACTTCAGTTACTACCTCCCATTCTCTAGCCTTCTTTTTCCCATTTTCTCATTGACATTTTTAATTATATAGAATAATACTTTTAAATTTAAAATAAATCAATACATATAAATTAAGCGTGAAATTTTTTTTTCTATTACCGTTTTTAATTATATTTAAAAATCTTTTTCAAAATAGTTTGAAAAATTCTTGTTATAAATGGGAATATGAAAAAGGGTGGTATTAAGTTACCCAATGCATTAATGCCGCAAAAGAGTTACAAGTGTTCCTCTTTCAGCTGACGTTATTTGCCCAACTTGCTTAGTGCCTCTGAGAGCAATCACTTTCTAGGTTCGTTGTAGTGTTGATAATCCAGTTTCGTCTATATTGTAAATAAACTCAGGGCCGAAACGATGTCGTTCATATACAGTTTTAAGATTTTCAAAAAAATTTCCGACATTTTTCATATTGAAACTTGTGGCGCGTGAGAGACTAGTAGTTTCTGGGGTCTTTATCGAAAGCTGAGGTTGTCTTTTAAAAAATCCCCTTAGCCAATCTTTGGATGCAAGTTTCTTCTCTGTCCAGTTGTCTGGTATTTTTTTAATATATACCAGATATTATTAATTATAATAATATAATATTTTAGTATATTACATATATGTATATATATATATATATATATATATATATATATATATATATATATATATATATTTGTATATAAATATATATATATATATATATATATATATATATATATATATATATAAATATATATTTATATACAACAGTTGCTGTTCTTAATGGTAACACTTAATAGAAAGATTTGATTACATAGGAAAGTTTCTTTTT